GAGTGCGTGTCTCTCCTCGCTGCTTTCTGGAGCGCTGCGCTGCCCGTGAGCACCGCCCAGCACCAGGGCAAGGTGAGCGGGCACCGGGGGCACCGGGGGGCAGCGGGGAGGGGCTCACTGCTCATCACACCCCTCCGTGCCAGGAGCAGGTGCTCCAGGGTGAGATCGCGGCGCTGCGGGCCCGGCTCTCCGAGAGGGAGGATGCTCTGCAGAGCACGGCCAGGCGGCTGCGCAGCACAGCCCAGCTCAAGGACAGCATGGAGCAGTTCATCGTCACTCACTGTACGTGCCCTGCTGGCACGGCCAAGCTGGCCGGGTCCCCATGTGCCACAGGTGGTTCTGCAGCACAGGGACCTCGCTGAGCCCCTCTCTCTCCTGCAGTGACCAGGACACACAGTGTGCTGCGCAAGGCCAGGACGAACCTGGAGGTGAGTTTGCCCTGAGGGCCGGTGTGGGACAGGGGTGGGTGTCCAGGTCCTGATGTCCTGGGGATGGACACGGCTGGCACACGCACGGCGCTGAGCGGAGCGCTGAGGGCTAGCTGGGTGAAACGTGTGGGGGACACAGGGACACATTCTCCCTTTGTGTCCTCAGCCAGCATGTCCATGTCCCCAGGGCCCAGCACTGCTCCTCCTCACTGCCATGTGTTGTCTCCTGCCAGGTGAAGGCCCAGCAGGCCCTGCCTGTGGCGTGAGGCCCGTGCAGGGCAAGGAGCAATGGCCAGCGTGGAAGAGCCCGCTGGCTGCTGAGCTGTGCCAGAGAGCTGGAGCAGACCCTGTCCCTGCTGCTCTGAGGGCTGGGGTGGAAAGGGCTCTGGGGTGTCCAGTACTACACAGTCAGTGGGTTTGGGCTGCTGTGGTGGTTGCATGCCCTCCACCAGCCTTTGCTTGCCATGGCAGCAGCAGCTGTTGGCTTGGGCTTTGTCTGGCTCCTGCTCCCTTCCACCCTCAGTGCTCAGAGTGGGCACAGCCCCCCACGCTGAGCACCCCTTGCCCTGGGACCTGGTCCCCCTGTAACCCTGTCCCTGCTTGTGGATATATGTATTTGTATATAGACAGAGGTATTGGAAATGCGTTTTGGGGACTCCAGATGTGTCGGGGCCCCAGCGCAGAGGAAGATGTAAGAAATGCCATATTCTGTTCAGTGGCTGAAGAGTCCCCAATAAAGGTTTCCTTTGGGTTGTGGTGTTTCTGGCATCCTGTCCCTGCAGCCATGCTCCCCCTCCCCAAACTACCTGCAGCACAGGCTGTCAAAGGCACTGGCTGTCCCCAGGGGGGTTGCTCTGTGCCCTAACAACCCAAGGGCAGCTCTGTGCCACACTGGGTGCTCCCTTTCCTCCTCTTACTGTTCTAGACCCCCATCTCCAACACCAGGCAAGCAGCACTGAGAACAATAAATACTGTAATAAATAGAGAACCCCCTGTTCCATGGCACTGCTGCAGCAGCAGGCGGTGCAGCCGGGGTCCTGGAGTGCCTGCCTGGCTCTGCTCCTGCCAGGCCCCTCCAGCGTGGGCGTGTGCCAGTGCCCCTCTGGCTGTGACAAAGTCAGCCCTGTCCCACAGAAGCTGCTGATGTTTGGGGACAGGGCATTGCAGTCCTTGATGGTGCTCTCACAGCAGCAGGTAAGAGTGGCTGTGTCCAGCTGTACCGTCCATCATGCTGGCTCGACGCTGAACCTCACAGAGGGCTGGGGCTGCAGAGCCCTCCTCAAAGCTGGGGGGCAGCCCCACAGCCAGGGCTGTGGGACAGGGAACAGGTGCCAGGCTGGAGTGTCGCAGAGCCCCCAGCAGACAAAGTCGCCTTGGAAACCCATTGCCAGGGCAGCAGCGCAACCTCCGGAAGAACAGGATGTGTTCCTGGAGCCTGGACTGGGTGCAGTGCCAGGACCACCTTGAGGCCCTCACAGGCTGGAGAAGACAGGCAGGGTGAAGCCCTTTTTGTGTTGGGTGTGAGGAGGGGCTGTTCTGGTGAGCAGCAAAGTGGTCCCAGCGACTCACAGAAGCCAAGGGAAACTGCAGGTGGGCGGAAACCAAGGGCTAAACCACGCCAGCAGGATGGGACAGCGTCACAGGCCCCCGTGGCCCTGAGCTTGTTGCTGGGGCCCGTGTCCCTGCCAGGTTGGAGGCTGGAGCCAGTGGCCAGTTGTCACACAGTCCCGTGGCCCAGTGTGTGCAGACAAGCGGCTTTTGGTGTCCTGCGTGGGGAGCGTGTGAGGCCCCTGCTCAGATGGGCTTGTACAGCAGCGTGGTGACGTACTTCTTCTTGTAGCGGTGCGTGGCACTCAGCACCATCACGCCGTCCTGCGGGAGGCACAGCCTCAGCACGTGGGGCCAGGGCAGCCCTGGGGCTCAGGGAGCTGCCCCCAGTCCCACAGCCAGCCCCATACACGACAGGGCAGCGGGGCAGAGCAAGGACAGGCTCTGAAGGGAATTGTCAGGAAGTCACACCCTCTTGCCCCTGTGCGTGCCACACCTCTCCAGGCAGCCAGGTCCCATCTCCACCCCCCAGCTGAGCAGGTTCTGCTCCCTGCAGGCTCCTGGGAGCCACAGCAGCTCCTCACCTACAGCCTGGCAGGACCTGTGCTTACCTTGATGGAGAGCGCGTAGAGGTGGTTGAGCATGACGTGGTTGGGCTCGGGCAGCAGTGCTGGGTCACACTAGGAGGAGAGGAGTGTCACAGGGGAACAGCAGAGCCCTGATCCCCCAGCCCCTGCCAGCTGCTGTCTCAGGCAGCTTGAGCTGCCACTGCCTCTGGCTGTTCTGAACAGGAACAGAGCTCAGCTAAGCACCAGGAGGCCAAATCAGTGAAATGGGAAAAGTGTGGCTTTTCCTAGGAAATGCCACAACCCCAATTCCCCAACCAAGGGGAGCCCAGGCTCCCTGCAGACAGGACTCCCTTTCCAACCCCAGCGTGGCTCTCTCTGTGGGCAGTATGCTGGTACACACCGAGATATTGGTGTCCTTGTTGAGGATGACCTGGAGGAGGTGAGGTGGGAGGATGGGTGGGGATTTGAAGCGCTCCTCAGGCCGGTATACATACATCTCTTGGCCATAAGGTCCCGGTGGGGAGCTGGATAAATCTAGAGAGAAGACAAAGGCAGAGACATTAAATGACTGAAGCTGGATAGGTGAGCTCCTAAAAAGAACTCAGCAAGGTCTTTCAAGCACAAACATCCTCCACAAGCCATGGGCAGGGATCTATTCTACAACAACAGCTCAGCCTGTTCGCAGCAGAAAAAGCAGCTGGGTGAGCCCATGGCAATTCCAAGCAGGGCTGTAAGCTGGTACATGCACTGACACAACACAGGCACCCCATGTTACCCAGCACAAGACCCCTCAAGCACAGCTCTTGGTCCCTCTCCCTGCAGGAAGCAGTTGGCTTGCTCCAGAGCTGTGCCCTCAGCAGCAGGAGCACAGGGAGCAGGCTGCTCTAGGTGCTGCCTGATAAGGAGCTCCAGGGAAGGCAACCAGGAAATCCACACTGAGCAGCTGTTCCAAGCATAGGAGCTTGTGGTCACTGGAAGGTGGACTGCCCACAGCTCCCAGCTACATCTGATCTGAACATTTAGGAACAGCCAAACCCAGATGGGCTCCATCTCCTTGGGCTGCTGCTGGCTTCTCTCCAGCAGTGTCTCTTTCCCAGGCTGGGAAAGGACATGGAGCTGAGCTGTATCTGAGATGGGGCTGTACCAGGGACACACACACACACGACTGAGCTTCCTGCCAGCGTTTCACACTGAGCCAGCACCACTGGTGCCTGTGTGGTAACCTAACCTGCTGCTGTAACACAAGCAGACAGGGAGGTTTGCAATGTGCTAGCACTGGTACAAATTACCTTGGCATGAAAACCAAGAGTAGCTGCTGAAAATAAACTGGATCCTGCTATCACCTAGCTTGTACCCCAGATCAGATGACTTACAGTTGACCAGACAGAAAGAGCTGATGCTCCTGGCATTTCTCAGTCCGAAATGGCTCCCTCAGCCACGCACTGCAGCAGCTCTGCTCTGGGATGGTGCTAGCACAGAACAAGGTACAGCAACACAGCCCCTCCAGAAGGACAAGGCCTCAGCTGTGGGCTGGGGAGGACAAGCTGCCCAGCACTCCTCATCCACACTGGGTGCATCTGTGCACCCAGAGCAGCGAGTCTCAGAGCAGAGGAGATGGAAAATAGCACATGCAAAGCTCTAATGCCACAAAACTCACCCCGACCTGAGGTTTCTGAGCTTTCCAGGGAATCCACCTTCAACGCATCAAACACCTCGAAGTCAGACTTCTTGACGTGGATGAGGTTGTTTATTGTCCCCATCTGGCTGGTGACCACAGGCTGGAAAGAACTGGGATGAGAATCTTCCTGTGTTCACCTCAAACTGAGGCACATTCAATGCTCCTTAGATCTTCCCAGCCCAAGCTGTCTTTGCTGTAATGCTACCTTCGAGCACAGGTGGCTGGTGTCCCTCTCTGCCCTATACCTGTAGACCTCTGCTGTTTACCCTGGGAGGATTTTCCTTTATCACAGGCTCCAACATCACCTCCTATTTCCATCCTCCATCCTGGTACATGCCCATGGGTAGGTGTGTTGTCCTTCCCATGCTGCTCCCAGCATGATTCAGTTTGGAGGAGAATCTGTGAGTGCTGACCTCATGCCCATCTTCCTATTGCCAATTCTCAGTGGGACTTGAGGGCCTTTTTGCATTTCCCTGCCCTCTCCCAATGCTTGCCCATAAAGCATGACTAAGTCCAGAGGAACCAGCCTCTGAAATGACTCAGGGGATGGAGGTGTGCCTTTTGTTCCAGGGGATAGTCTCTGCTCTTCCTGTTCCCCCTCTGCTGCAGTTACATCCTGTCTAGTTCCCTGAAGAAAACAAGATCTGTACAGATAAAGCTTGGAGAATTACCTCAGATGGATCATGGACCCACTGGCCATCCACAAAAAATTTGTACTGGTGCTCTCCTTCTGGAAGGTCCAGGATAGCAACAAAGTCGTTGTGGCTGTGCAGAGAGAACAGATGTACAACAGCATCACCCTGTTGATGTTCTGAATGCTGCTCTTCCACGGGGCCCCAGGAACCAGCACTGCCCAGCCCCTCTACCCCAACAGCTTCATGCAGGGTTAGGCTTGCTCATCATCAGTGACCCAAGGCATGGCCACGACAGGCCACGAGCATTCCAAGCACCAGCATGGCTCAAACCCCTGGCAGCCCTGCTGCAAGTCCAGCCCCCTGTGCCCTGAGGAAGTGGACGTGACAGACACCCTGTGCAAGACAGGCTAAGCAGAACACGGGGGCAAAGCTCCTGCCCTGTGCTGGCACAGAAGGACAGGAGAAAGTGGGACAGCTCTGTTTGTCAAGTCTGAAATTGAGATAAACTCACTCCAGATTAATTGCTAGAGTCCTACATGAGCTTCCATGTAAGTCACAGATATGTTGCAGAACAGCGAGAACATCATTGGGGCAGGAAGATACGTGAGGGACAAACAACTAACGCCCACTGGCAGCCATACAACTAGGCATGGGGTAATGCTGCAGCCAAGGGAAGAGCTGACAGCTTCTAGAGGACTGCTGCATACCTGGGCAGGCCTCTGCTGCCAGCACTGGCTGCTGTGTGACATCCAGCTGGGCAAGCAAAGTGGCCCATCCTGTCCTGTCCCCATTTCACAACTTCCCACTGTCCCTGCAGCACCACGCAGGGAAGGAGCTGACTGTGTGTTTGTCTCAGACACACAGCTTGAGTGAACAGAGAAAAGCCAAGAGAGCAAAGGAAAATGTTCTCTGCACTGGAGCAGACATGAACATAGGCTAAATGACTTGAGGGACTGGCTACCTCTTGATGAGTGGGATCTTGGTGCTCCAGTTGTTGAAGGATCCGGAGATGAAGACCTCCTTGCCTCCATCAGCCCAGCGTATGACAGTTGGACGAGCCTGTTGGGATGGTTTCACTGACTCCTCCAGATCTGGCTGCCACGACACAAACTCCTTGTCCCCAGGAATCTGGGAGAAGAAAACCAGAGAGATGTGACTGAGACACAGAGACAACTGTGAACACATTCACACAGCTGGCCTCTACCAGCCCAGCTGCACATCACACACAGGAGCACCACAGAGCTCCTCCAGCCTTTTGAGACCCCTTGCATGGCTGGGAGCACAACCCCACACAGGCAGTGAGCCGAAGATCCAAAGGGCAGGCAGGGAAGGGAGCAGCCAAGCCCTACCTTGGAGTCATGGGAGCTGAAAACGCTGGGGTCGTCGGTGCTGCCCACCATGATCTTGTGCGGGTGCTCCTTGGCGGGGTGGGAGGCACCGGAGCCGTCGGAGCGGTGGGATTTGGAGCCATGGCGCTCCCCAGACACCCGCTCGCTGGTGGTGTTCCCCATGGCAGCTCAGCAGCCCCTGGCAGGGAGACAAAACAACGCTCTGCCTTTGCCCACGGGCTCTGGCAGCAAGGACAGGAGCACCAGAGCTGTCTCCCAAATGTTCTTCACCAGTGGAGATGAACAGCAATCCTAAAAAAGGCCCCAAGTTCATTTCCACTACCAAGTTTGGGAGCTGAATGGGAATTCAACAAATGAGACAGCTTGACCTAATTATAGCCATGTCCTTAAGAACCATCACTCTAGTTAAGCTGGTAATTGTTAAGACTCCAAAACCAACACAACTTCAACTGGGTCCCGCATCAGCCCTTGGCAGCCAGCAGAGCAGAGCTGACAGGAAAAATAAAGCCAACCTTTACTGGCAAATCAAGTGCCTGGCATTAACAGAGCCTCTTTCACAGTCCTGCAGTCAGGCTTTACACACAACCCCCGACATCCAGCAAGAAAACAGCCAGGGACTGAAAGTAGCAGCTGTTCCACAGTCCCCAACAAGCCTCCAAGAGCTCGCAGGCAGAAGAGCAGAGCCTTGTGCCTGCAAAGGCGACAGGGAGCATTTAAAGTGTCCGAATGGAATCGCCCAAGCTGGAGCTTGTCCAAGGACAGGGGCTAACGCTGTGGTGTCTGCAAAAAGCTCAGCTCTCAGCAGCATTCACTTATGATTCACCAGGCAAGTCACCGTGTCAGCTGCAGCATGGCAGAGCGAGGAGGACCATTTGTTGTGACCTAGCCAGCACCTCCCTGCCTGTCTGGAGGGACACGGTGAGCGAAGGCAGCCCCGGCCACCTCGGTGTCCCTCTGCAGCTAGAGATGGGCCACCATCCCTAATGTCACCCAGCTCAGAGAAAGCAAAACAGGAGAACTGATCAAGCCATGAACAACTGCACACCTTTTAGGATAAACAACAAAGCCACTGCAAGCTACACAGGACTCTTCAGGCCTTACCCTCTTCCCAGGAGCTGAGATGGATTTAGGTTCTTGCCCACTTCCAGGCTTATTTTGCAGCTTTCTACCGTGGGCTCTGCAAAGCAAGCAAGGGGACAGCCAGCCTTGCTTCATGTGCTCACTTGTGACATTTGGTGACTTGTTTAAAGGATCAAGTTATACTAAGGGTGCCAAGCGAGTCTGCCAGCCAAAGCCAGGCTTTAGAACATTATGGAGCAATTACTATGGTATTTCTTAAATCCTGAGGGCTAAAAGGCAGCTCGAGTGGGCAGCTAACCCATACCTCCACTCCTCTCCGTGCAGATCAAGTATACCTGAAGATCCAGGTCAGATGAGCTACACCTCTTGCTCTGACATCTTCCCCCTCTGCTCTGAGGAGGCTCAGACAGCTCCTCACAAAAACTGCCCCTGTACCACCAGACCTGCTGTTGTGGAGTTTCCTCTCCAGTATTTCCACTAAGGCTCCCTTACTTCTCATCTCCAGGGAGGAAGGCAGGAAAGGCTGAGCTTCCCTTGTAGCAGGACAGACCTGGGAGATCTGTGCAGGTGTTAATAGGAGTGAAGCTTCTCCTTCTCTTCTCTAAAAGGATTCCAGTCCCTCTGTCCCTTGCAGGTCTCGCTCTCCAAACACTTCCTGAGGCTTATCCCAAGCGGTGGCTCCTGTCTGGCGTGTGCCATCTGAATCCCCAGCATCTCACACACACACAGGCACCCGGCTCTTTGTGCACAGCCTGCAATACCTGGCTTTGCTGAACTAACTTTTACAGCTCAAACCCTCCTGCACCCAGACCAGCCCTCGTAGCATCAGGAGGTGGTGTGACACAGGTACATCCAAATCATGGATGGAAATGCTGCCAACACCAGAGCCCCAGCAAACCTCCACGGCATCTCAGGATCTCCGAAAGTCCAGTCAGGACATTCACTCCCAGTCTGGCAGCGACCCCCTGCCAGCCGCAGCCCACAGCAAGGTGGGTGCCTGCTTTCCCCATCACCAGAGCCCTTCGCTTCCAGCCAGCCCCATCTTCTCGTACGGAAAATGACAAGTGAATTATCCCCGTTCCCTCCCCGGGATGTGCCGCTCTCAGCCGGCCCGTGGCCGTCCCGGGAAGCGGCGGCACGGAGCCCAGGGCTTTCTGCAGCGGGGCTGGGGTCTCCAGCAGTACCGGGAGCACTGGCAGGCGTTCCCAGGGGGTTTTGAGTGAAGGACGGGGTCCAGCACCTCGCCGGGCTGACACCGCCCGGGCTCTCCCTCTTTCAGAGTCAGGAACCAGAGCTGAGCCCTCAGCTTGCCGTAAGGTTAAGGGGGTGAGCTGGGAAAGCGGGGGCGGAAAATCTCCCACCGAGCAGGCAGGGCTGGGGCTCGGGCTCGGCTCGGCGGGGCTGCCAGGGCGGGCTTGGCCCGCGGCTCTGCCGTGACCCGGGTGAGGAGCGGGACACAGCGGCAGG